GTGATGCGCGCAATAGCGGGCGGAGCAACCCGGTACATGAAAATATCAAGAAGTAAAAAACTCAATGAATTTATACAACTTGAATTGAGAAGTATGTGTGATGAGCAGGATTTTTCAGAGCTGAGGAATTCTCTAGAGGTCGCGTTCCAAAGGATCGGCAGCGCGAATTCTGAAAGATGTTTGAACTGAATTCTAAGCTTTATAAAGTTTATGCTATACGAAGGATAAAGCATTTGCCGTTGATCAATCCCTTTTTGGGATGCGGCACGCATTCTACTTCCATTTGTACATTCGTAGTGGCGTTTGAATGCGATGTGGCCTATACAATGACTTGCGGGGGCCAGCCGATGTACAAGTCAGTGTTTTTATCCTCCCAGACAAGGCTTGGTTGGCCCGGGCGACTCACGACCCAGGATTTGATCCCCGGACCGCTCGCGTGGTAAGCGTGCCACTTGCCACTACACCACTTCCGCCCTGAATTCCAAATGACTTCCAAAAAATTAAGATTTTGGAGAAATCTGAGAAAAATTAGCAGCTCAATTATTCTAAAAGAGAATTAAGAAACAAAATCCGAAGCAATGAACACAGCGATTTTGAACGCGGTACCCCGTATGGTGTCAACTCACTTGTATTGCTTGCCGTCCCATTGTTTCATCAACTCTTCGAAACCCTACTAAGTTTCCAATCGTCCCGGGACCGCACCACAGTAGTTCAGTGGATTCGCTTTCGTGAAGCTTGACCAACGATAGCTGTCTTACAAACGAACTGGTAACCGGTCCGTCCAACAGTCATGTAAACAGCATACGTAATCTTCTACCGTCCACTAGAGTACGAACTCAGGCTTCTTGGTACTTCCATGCATGGGAAGATTTGGCATTCCCTGGTTATTTCTTTAAAAAATTCCTTTTGATCGTAAAATTCTGTGTTCTGAAGTGCTGCAGGTCCCTGAGTAGGAAATTTTTTGCTAGATGTTCAGTCGAGTTGGTGAGCCGGCCGAGTATTAAACTACTCTTGCGAAATAGCCCTCTACACTTTCCACTGTTTTCACCGTTTGTTGATAACAAGCTTGTCGAAAGTGCTGGGCATGTGGATTCTGGGCATCATAAAAAAGAGCGTAGTGTTGAAACTGCCTAAATGTTTCGTACGGATATAATTTTTTTCAAGCGCATGTCCCGTGTGATCAGGAAAGTGGAGGGAATGAGTACAATGGATGTGCTGTACTGATGGGTCGGCGTAATTGTTGAAATTTAATATAAACAAGTTTCGAGTGGCTAGAAGTGCACTGTTTCTACCCATAAAAGGAAGGGAGAGTGACAGGGACAGTCACAACTAAAAAAAAAAAAAAAAAAAAAAAACAAAAAAAAAAAAAAAAAAGAAAGTGTGGCACGGTTTCCACCCATAAAAGGAAGGGAGAGTGACAGGGACATGTCACAACTGAAATGTTGGTTCGCCTTCCTTGTGCTGCCTTTCTTGTTTGTGAATATCGAGGCTGAGAGTAAGTGCAACTGCAACTTCAGCTCACTCATAGCCCTCGGAGATTTTCTACGTTGACTGTATGCAGCTGTTTCGCGAATCAAAATGGAATTCCAGGTCAGCAATGCCTTCCCTTAGACAAGCTGGAGAAAGTAATTACGAAAGTAGTTGGTCCCAAATCGGTGAGTTCTTTGTCGATGCATTGCTGGAAAATGAATGTGGGTTAAACATGTGGCGTATTATTTCAAGTATTCTGCAGATCAAATTCAGCATCAGCTCAGGGCAAGGGCAAGTGTGTCCCCCCATTCTCTCCTGCAATTTTCAGAGGGGACAGAACAATGGAAACAATAAGCTATACATCGGCGTGATAACTTCGAATAAGTTAGATGTGATGCAAGTGCGCTCCCGAATGCACTGAGATTCGAAAGATTAATAGCAGTTAATACTGACCTATAATGAGTTGAATTATGTTTCGTGATAGTTAACTGGCCCCAACTCTGATGTGGCTTCCTGCATGGGCCGTCATGTAGTAAATGTGGAAAAAAAACACTGTAAATTTCAAGGAGGTTTATGTTCAAAGGTCAGATATCTTGAAAGAGTTTCATTAAATTCACGCGCCAGTTTTGCCGATCCCTCAGAGCCTTGCGCTTTTATCAAGCCTACAGTTGTTACAGTTGTTTTACAGCCTCACAGTTTCACGTCGTCATCTTTATAATTCTACCTTTTACGATTAGCTAAGATATTGTCCTTTTGTAAGCTGGCTTACTAGCTGGTATACTCACAGAAGCGAAAATCTTTGTTGCTCTGTTTGTGAGCCAGAAACTGGTTCCTACGCTGTACCCCTAACGCGGGACATGATTGTAAGGTGTTATGAGCAGGCGTTAAGAGCAGCATTTTGAGGAGAAGCAGTCCAGCACAAGGCAATATGTGAAGGTTACTTTACTAAGCTTCTGAACGACCCTCTCCACTAAACAACCCACCAGCAGAGCATGCAGCTGGCCCATCGCATTCCGAGTAGTCGAAAGTTCGACGAGCATCAGGGAACATGAAGGTTGAAAAAGCGGCTGGTCTCGATAGAGAACCAGTAAAGGCCCGCAAAGCGCTTTGAATAAGCATAGGAAAAGAGATTTAACCGCTTCCTGAGCACGGTAACTGCGGAAGAAAAGGATGCGATGCGAGATGTTGCTCACCCATGTTCAGCGGAGTGGTGACTGAGAAAGGTTGTGTTCCACCTAATAGAAGTTTGAATGCTCGTAACGTGAAGTTTGTTCAAGCGGCAGGTTAACTCCAAGCTAAGAGAGTTTTTGACAATTTTCGAGTGTGAGTCTAATCGTTTTGAAGATCAAAATTTTTTTGAATTTTTTGCCATGCGATTATTTTCCAAGCTATTATATGAAAGTATATTTTTGCTAACAGAATTGGTCAAATGATATGGCTGCATGGGCTGTGAGAAACGACCGGATCAGGAGTGAATAACACCTCTTGAAATTGGACGTTTGCTCTGGACATTGCGGAGTTGAAGGAAAAATCAAGGAGAAAGTACGCGAGACGGTGAAAATCAGGCAAGGGACTTCTGAAGAAAGTAAGTCGTTGCTTTGGTCAAATCATTTTAGTAGAAAATTCTTCGCACCCTCATCGAAGAGCATTTTTGATACTACACATGTGGATCTATTGGAAGAGGCTACATGAGAAAGCCCACAAAGCATTACACAGTGTTTATGCTAATGGCGATCTCGAAAGGCACAAATTCCCTCGCATTCGAGTCGATTAGCTATATTAATTCAAGACTTCTCCTTCACGATGGAAGATATTGGGTCGAAGTGGTCACTCAAAATGAGATATACCAGCTAATGCGTGCAGAAGTAAATATCAAATTTCTATAACTGCCTCGCTAAAAATTGTCAAAATTTTAGAAAGGTTCCCTGCCGTAAGGGTGTTCAAAATGTTGTTGACCACCCAACCCCCAATTTTTTTTTTTTTTTTGGTGGGAGGGGGGGGGGGGGGGGGGGGGGGGATTAAAGGGGTGGGGGGTTTTTTTTTTTTTTTTTTTTTTTTTTTTTTTTTTATATTTCGTTTGAAACGGCAACTCTGTCTACTAATTTGTAATTTGTTAACTACGCTCTGAAGGGCACAAATTATGTTGGCGATTCGCTTTTGTAAGAGTGACGGAAATGATGTGTCCATGCCAGCCAGAGTGATCGAGGGATTCGAGAAACAAATAAAATGTTGCAAGAGTGTTCCATTCCTTATTGAGTCGATGGGCTAAACTGACTGAACGGATCCAGTTGCATAGCAACAAGTCTGTTTGATGGACTGGAGTTTCTTAGCCATGCGAAGGCGCTGTCGAAGCGTAAAAGGCACAACTTCGCAAAATAATGTAAATCGATTTGTTTAGTCAAGAATCCAATGCTTTTGGCAGCACGAGGACAGGTAGTACACGCTGGGCCACCATCCACAAGTCCAACCATGCATGGCGGCTTACACTACTGAGTATGGACGGGAAGGATATCAGGTCAATGAACCATTTGTAACGGGACATACACCATTAGATGTATTTTTAGACGCTGATCTTGAATCTGCCCTCCTAATCTGTGGAACGATTCTCTGAACGTAGTTATGAAGCGTGAGAACGTTGTTTAGGGGATTCTTATCCATGCTGAGTCGTAGCGATTGCCTATATCACACAGGTAAAAAGAGCTGGCGAAGAACTTTGAACACTGTGCACGTCATTTGCGAATGACCGCCTTTAAGCACCCGTAACGCACGCGTCACGCAAGATGACAGAGTGATGTCGGGTGTTCAGCGGGTCAAAGATACCTTTTTCGCAACTTTCGGTCAATCTAAAGATTTTGGTGTTTGGAGTGTCTCGAATGAAAGCATTTTCATTTAACACTGTTGGAAGATGATCGTGGTATCCAGATGGGAATTAAATTTATTCATTGTGGGAAAGAGATATTACGGTCTTTGGCACTACTTGCTTGGGCTCGAAGGATTATATTGTTGGTTTTTTTTTCAGCAGGATAGCAGAGGGGTAGGTGGCTAGGAGGAAGGATGCACGACGACTTGATCGAACCGAAGATGAAAATGGGTCCAAAGATGTCGGATTCCAAGGAGTAAGTTTTCAGGTTAGTGTGGTCCTGTGGAGCAAAAGTCTCAATTGCTCAGCCTTATCAACGGATACGTCAATTCCATGCGTAAGAAACACCCTGACGTGGTCGGGAACATCGCGGCAAAGGTGAGGGATGATGGCCTAGGGCAACGTGAACAACGTTAGCAGGACGCGCGTAAATTCCCCACTGGATAATTTTTTATACCTCAGGATTAAGCGGGAGATTACGAAGAGTTCATAGATAATTCAAGGCCAGTAAGATGCATCCATGGGTCTTTACGCTGAAGGCTCAGCACTACGGTCTTTCGGCATAGCGGGTCCAATTTGAAACAACCCCGTAACTTCTTTTCAGAGAATCGTTTCGCAAATTTGGAAGAGTGGATTTGAGATCAGCGTCCGAAAATCACATCTCTGAATATAGGTTTCATTACGGATGGCCACTTCGACTTGGTATCCTTCCTTGTGAGTTTGAATTCGTACTAGGTAGCCTCCGTGTCGTAGTTGAGTGATGTTCAGCAAACAACGGATGAAAAGCAATTTGGTCGCTGATAGATCATGACTCACTGATTTTTCTAGCTACGCCGACCCGGCACGAAATATGGATGCTACTGTGTGCACTGGCCTGAAAAAGATCGCGACCTCGTGGTAGTACAGTGTGTATACAAGCCAGCTTAAGACTTCCTTTCTGTCCATGAGTCTGCAAGAATAATGTTGGCATAAAAATTTAATCGAGCAAGATTTCGTCAAGTGTACTTCGAGCACAATGTCTGCCAGACGGATCAGTGGCGTATAGACTGCTTGCATCGGTGAAATCCGCGAGGTGTGGCAACCCGTGGAATTCCATTGAGTGTCCACAACACCTCGAAGGGAAGATGCGTGTGCGCTGGAAGGCTCTGACTGTCTATGTGCATGTAGATTGGGCCCGCTTTTCTGACCCTGAGAAGACAAGCGTGCTACGCTTGCTGATAGCCTTGCAGATGCGATGGATGTCGATCGAGAGAACGAGAAGTAGATCGGGGGATACTCTATTGATCGACTGAGTGAACGAGTAAGGCATATTGTGCGCGGCGTACCTGCGCTGGAGGTTTACGGTTGAATCGAATACGGACCTTTTCATGTCGCCTGAACAATAATGCAAATGATATAGCGATAAACAGGACAAACGGTGTGAAACATACAAGCGAGTAATAGAAAAGGTCTGCGATGTGCAAAGTATCTCAAATATGCAAAACAAACGCAAGATAGGAAAGGCATCTATGGCTGCACGAAAACTACTACTGAGCTACACACTCGAAATAGGGGATAGTTATAATGGCTACAGTGCAAAATGACTAGAAACGAACTCCCTATAGATACGCTAAAAAACTTAAATTAGGATCCCGGCAGGGTCAACTGTCATGTTGGACCATCAAGTACGACCCCTTTCCCCTCTTGGAGGTCTCCATACGACCCATCCCCAGCTCTATTATGTAGGG